AACAAATTGAATGTTTAAATGGCTGTAAAAAGTTTATTTTTATAGCTAGTACAATTTTTTATCTGTTAATTATTACGTTTTCTCATAACAAACATATATTTTTTTGAAAATTAAAAAAAGATTAACTTTAACCAAAGTTATTGCAAATTTAGTGCAAATATATTACATTTTCCGTCTCTGCGCGCACCAATTTTACCATATCTCTGGTTCAATTGGACGGATTGAGACGCACATCTCATTTTAAAACTTAAACTTTATTTTACAAGATAGGTAAGTTCCATTGATTAATTAATTTATTTAAAAATTAATGGCAGCTTAGAAAGTTGTGGAATTTCAACGAAAATGTTGGCTTTATTGGTTTATAAAACTTTTTTTGTTATTCAATTTTTATGAAAAGCCAAAAAAGTTACCGGTTATTGTTCCTCGCATCCTAACAATGATTTCATGCCTTGCTTGATTGTTAGAATGCAAAGAACAATATCCGGTAACTTTTTTGGCTTTTCGTCGAAGTTGAATAATAAAACAAACCTTATAAACAATTAAAACCGGCATTTTAGTTGAAATTTCACAACTTTCTAAGCTGCCATTAATTATTAAATAAATAAATTAATAAATGGAACTTACCTATCTTGTAAAATACAGTTCAAGCCTTAAAATGAGATGTCGTGCGTCTCAATCCGTCCAGTAGAACCAGAAACGGTAAAATTAGTGCGCGCGGTGACGGAAAATGTAAGAGATTTGAACTAAATTTGCAATAACTTTGGTTAAAGTTAATTTTTTTTTAATTTTCAAAAAATACATGTTTGTTATGAGAAAACGTAACTAGTAGATAGGTGGGGCCGTTTCTACGCCGGAAGTGACGTCACATGGCCAGTGTCCATCGAGTTCGGCGCGCTCCTTCAGCGACTTCTTGTGGGCATTGTCGTTGTGCAAGAGATGCGTGNTGCGTCTCAATCCGTCCAGTAGAACCAGATATGGTAAAATTAGTGCGCGCGGAGACGGAAAATGTAAGAGATTTGCACTAAATTTGCAATAACTTTGGTTAAAGTTATTTTTTTTTAATTTTCAAAGAAATACATGTTTGTTATGAGAAAACGTAACTATTAGCGAATAAATTGTACTAGCTATAAAAAAACTTTTTACAGCCATTTAAACTGACCACTTTCAGGCTTTGCGACCAAGTTTTTTGGATTCAAGAGGTTAAATATTGAAGAATAAGTTGTTTGCAGCCGTGACACTTTGGCTACGGAACACTATCTGGCTCCTGGACCATATGGTGCACGTGCAAATTAAAAGTGGGTTAAAAGGTTACTGAACCACAGGTTAGCCTAGGTCGGAAACATGTACCGAATTGTTTATTTGTCTCCGTCCCATTGTTTTTTATGGAATATACAAGTCTCTCTTCTATTACTTACAGTCAATATTTAAATACTACATACATTTCATCCTCTCTTTATAATTTATCTAGTGAGTGTTGGTTTTTTATGTCATTATTTATGTAACGAAACTGAAATGGTTATGAAATAAAATTTAAATTATTTGAGCTTTTGGAGTTTTGTAACTTCAATATTAAATTTTATTTAAAGTGAAACAGCTAATTTCTTTGCAGTCATAATAGTCATATTTGGTCAGATGAAAACTCGCACACTACTCGTCGGTTTAGCGGTTTCAGAGGAGATTCGGTGTCAATGTCAATGGCGATCGTTTAATTGGGCCACATTTTCTACCTGAACATCTGAATGGGCCGCGTTACTTTCAATTTTTAGAAGAATTGTTTGGAAACCTTCCCTTCGGGCTTACAGCAAATGTTGTTAAAATATTAACATTATGATGCTAATAAAAACTGATTTTTTGCTCAGACCTCCTCGAGGTTCTTGCTGGACAACAATAACAATTTAATATGTTAATTGCATAAATAAAAAATAATTTATAGCATTTTAAATTATTATTGGCTGACGTGAGCAAATCGTTTATTTATTGTCTTTATATGAGCGAAAATATATAAATATGGCAACGTTGAATCTAGGGCGCGTTGTTCATATCGTAGCCGTGTATAATATTGTGAATAACTGGCTGACGTCAGCCGGTCAGGAACAGCCTGAAAAGGCTGTTCCTGAAATAATGATTTGAAAATATTTTTTTTTCAGCTTAAATATGCATTTAATTTTTTTTTAATCACGCCATCGTATTATACTCATTTTTCTCTATCTGCTCTTAAAATTAATGACATTATGACTGAATCACCCTGTATAATGGTGGTTCTCTGAGAGGCTCTATAGTGGCCTTTATAACAGGTCGCATCCAATGCATCCAAGTACTGTTTCATTACTGCTTGAATCTGTAAGTGCTAAGATACCTCTGAAATTTCAATTTTGAGGTTAGAATTTAGAATATACTTAGAACTGTAACCCTCAAAGTCAGATCACTCTTCACTAACTATAAATGTTGACTATAAAGCAGTGAAAATACGATAAAAACACTATTGCGCATTTATAAAATAAATAATAATACCGCTGATAGTTCTGACTTTAATTAAAATTAACATAAATGTTACTTAGAACTACATGGAATTAGCATTACAACCAAACGTTTTTAAATCAATTATTGTTTTATACAATAGGAGATGCAGATTTCATTTTTAAATAGTACGATGTAAAAATATCGTTTTTGACGAAAAATACCTGTATACTTAGAAACTTGTAGAACTCATGAGACTGACTGATTTTGACCAACAGGTAATTAAAATATTTCTCGCTTAACCGTTCTATTTTACCCACAACAACCTTCCTATATGTTGCGGCAGTAATAATTAACAAAGCGCCCTATCTATGGTGTTACTGGTGTTTGATATTTATAATTTAATAAAACATTTTTTTACAAAAACTATCACATAGACAAATGTTGAACAAAACAGTAATTCTATGTTGTATGTCGCATTCGTGTCATTAATATGAAAAGTCAAGCAACACCGATCGCGGTCAGTACTTGGATAATCCAGAGAAGATTCGCGATTCTCGTTAATCTTCTAGTGGCTTGTATGTCCATGTAATCAGAGAAGGCATACAAATTTAAGCGAGGTTTGTATAGGAAGACATACCATTTCTAGGAAAACTTAAATAACACTATACTAAAAACTTTATTTGTTTTTAAGGTAGAATAAGGAAGTAAATAATCTGTAACAATGAAACTTGAATTATTTATTTATAAATTTATCAAAATACTGGTAAAAAATGAAAACGTTTTCAAAGCACTTATTGAATAGTCAGATTTTGTTAGACTGGGTTAGAAATCTCATACTCATTTCTGCCACTCCAGTTCCGGTATATTTTAATATTACCCCAAATCCTCAAGGATAAGAAATATATGATTTCTATAAAAGAAAGTATAGAAAATCCAGTGAATAAACCCAGGAGTCCACCAAAATTAGAAATAAAATCTGAAAATCCATAAAGTTCATTCCTTTCTTTCGTCTCTATGTGATTCCTCCTGAAGTAAAAACTTAGAACAGAATACACGTAACTAAAAAAAAAGATATTACCTGAACAATTAAAAATCTCAAATACCTATTCCTTATGAGAAATTAGACAACAGATGGTAGATGATAGTTGTGAAAAATATAACTTACTTATCTTGATCCATCTTAAAACGATAAAGTCTAGGTGTCAAATTACTTTGGGAAGCTTCCACACTGTAAGTTAAGTCGGTACAACTAGGTAAACAGTCACAATTTACTACTGGTCGTATTTCTTTATCATCGAAGAGTTTTAAGTTCATATTATACTTAGTAAATTCTACTGCAAACAGATATATATGTAAGTACCTTATAACTAGTATCGCACTAGGCGAAATAAATTTTTTAACTTTAGTTAAATTAAAGTAGTTTCTCACAATATCCTCATTTAAAAAATTTTGTTCGCCTAGTGCGACATTAGTCTTACTTTTATGAAAGGTAATCTTACGAACACATTCAATCTTTCCATAATATTGTACCGTAATTGTTAAGAAATTAGAGCATTGACTTTGAATTGAATTTAAGGTACATGTTGCGCTGAGAATTATTTTGTATACACTAGTCTATATTTGAAAAAAAAACTAAAAAAGGAAAAAAGCATTTAAATCCGATTTCACTTTTCAAGGATACCTTCTACAAGTTTAATCTATACAATATGCATGCATCTAATTACTAATAAAAGTTACGAGATGTTAAATAAGAAATTATAATTTTATACCTTCAATATCCCACATACAATAAGTACGTTCCAAAATGCACACTGGCGTATCATTATATCCTACAATGAAAATATTTATATTTTATTTTATGACTATGAAAAAAGTTAAAAATTGAAAAAATGTTCTCTACAGCAAAATATAAAAGAACAAAATTAAATAAACATTCCTGTGATTCACTTCAGATACCATGAAATGTGGCATCTGTAACAGTTATTGAGAGTCATGGAACTTTTCCTATTGGCATATTCTGAATATCCAAACTATATGGAATTAAACAACAAATATTTAAATATTTCTCCCAAAAATCCGTAATGATATCTGCAGCACTTGATTCATAAGATTTTTTTCAAAGCTTTCGACTCGCTAGACCACACCTTGCAGAAAACTAAAATTTATGCTTTTGATGAATCGTAAGAGTTTTTCAAATCATACATCCGTCGACAAATGATCATCATTCAAAATTAAACTTCCGTGTTATATCCCATAAGTTTTGGGTTACTTCAAGGATTGATTTTAGACCTACTCCTTTGCTGATGGTCTAAATCGTAAGAAAATATTTAATTTAGTTCCACATTTAACAAAAAAGAATAAGTTAGATTAGAATACTCTCAAATAGAAAACTAAAATCACTTTTTCTGAAAACCTATGTATTTTAGAAATATACAAGCATGGGCGTAGCTAGGGTTATTTTTTTAGAGGCCTCCATAGAGCAGCTCTGCCTTCCCTCCCAAGCAAAAATCCTAGTTACGCCCATGTATACAAGTATAACTTTTTACAGCAAATAACTGACGTATATTCGATTAACTGCCTTATTTTGCTCCCAGAAAGCTTTAGTTACATTTTTCACACCTAATTATGACACACGGAAGCTGTATTATTAGATATGTTGTCCCAACTCAAAAACTTGATTCAGAAATATTATGCAGCACTAAAACTGTTGAACATGAATGGATATTTAATTTTGAACTTCATAATGCCTAATTTGTCTTATAGTCTATTGCTCCTTTCTAATTAAATATCATATGACAATTTTCGTCAAAAAATTGCTCAACATCAATTTGTCTCCATATTTACCGAATAAACTTTATTTAAGAGGTCATAGAACTAATCCACTTCAAGGTCACCACCGGGCTGCCGCCATCCGGAGTTGGCACCAGGTCTCCAGCAGCAGCTCCAAGGTCACGCTGAAGAAGTGTCAGTGGGGTGCGGGGGTGGGGGATCTGGATTGCAGAAGAAGAAGCCAGGGTCCGTCGGCAATGACCAGGAGGTCGGCATCGAGGAACGTGACGTCAGAGGCGGCACCAGGTGCGTGCATGAGCAGCGGCGGGGGGCAGCGGGGTGCAGGCGTGTGAGGCGGCAACGGGGTGCCGGCGTATGAGGTAGCAGCAGGATGCTGGCGTGCGGGGAGGCAGCGGGATGCCTGCGTCAGAGGGGGGAGCAGGCGGCCGGAGTCGGCCTGTGATACGGGAAGCCGGCGGCCGGCAGCAAGCTGCGGGGGGCGGCGACGGCCTCTTGGTACCAATCTTTTTGTTATAAGGTAGAAAATATAAGAAACGCGATAGTTAAAAATTGGCAACATGGTAACGTAAGCGTGTAATGTTCACCACATTTCATAATGTTCATTTTTTCAAATTTATTTTCAATTGTATCGCGAAACGAGATTGTTTTGAGTTACCCTGTATACGAAAAGTATAGTTTAAGGATTCAGTATTTTAATTTAAATTGAAGACATCAACAGTAGGCAACCTAATGTTCATTAATATTTTGTAGACAATTTTTGTATTTACTTATCGTTTTAATTTATCAGCTCCGATAAGAATTTATAAGAAAAAGGTAAAAGAACTGAACGGGGAAAAAAAGCTACACGAATAATAAATATTTACAACTATCATAATATTATAATTAAGTTTTCAAAAGATTTTCACTGAGTATTATTGAAAAATTCAAACCATATCTCTGTTCACAAAGCGACCTCATCGGCCACTCCGATTTGAATAGCTGTCAATTTCGATTTTATAATTTTGTAGCGATTAGACCGTTTTAAGTTGAGTTCCCAGTTTTTTCGGTTTCTATTTAGGTGGGAAACGATATTCGAGGAGCATTTCTTGGGTGTGTGCTCAGCAACTCGTAGTCGAGGAAACTTATGTATCATTTTTCTATATTTTATTAATGCGTGTGTGTTCCATAGACTGGGATATTAGTAGAAACGTGACTGTGACTGTGTCTATGTTTTGTGGTGATAGTTTTCTGCCGTTTATCTTGAAGACACAATCTCAGCTTTAGCTGAATCTAAGCAATCTTCCTGCACGAGTTATATAACACCAGTTAATGATTTTCACATAAATCCAAGCTGCTTTTCTTCTTGGATCACTCTGGAAGCCGTCCTCCATCCAAGTAAGTACCAGGTTCCTCTGTTCTGTTACTCTTTTAATTTAAATTTCGCATTTTCTCTCTATTACAGGGCTTCTAATTGAAGGCCCCAAAGGATTTAGTAAACTTTAATTTTTGCTGTGGCCGTGTTAAAGAGATTTCTGCCATCCGCTGCATGGTTGTGGCTGGTTTTCGTGGTGGCATAATTAATAAAACTCCCGTTAGTCTTCATCGGCTGTTGCTGGTTCTTGCGGTGATGTAACCAACTGCATCGCAGAAAAGTAGCTGTATAGTGGCCGCCTTGAAGTTATCTACATCCTGCTGTTATCAGATAAGCTACATATTGCCTATTATTCTTAACTATTAATAATAATATATTTTACTAACCCAAGCTATAATATTCAGGGCTAACTTTAAACTTTAAGCCACTGTGCGTCATTTTACGCACTGTTCTATAGTACACTATACCTATCAATGTTCAGCCAAATTTAGTATTAAGGATTTTGTTTATAGCTTACATCTGTACATCTTTTTTTTTTCTTTCTTATTATAATATTTCGGAAAGATTCCGAGTAACTTATTTATTATATAACATTAATTTATTAATTATAAGATTTTACTAGTAAAAATTGTCCACCCAACATGATCACGTGCGATTTACGTTACGTATTTTGTTCTTGATATGATATATATATATATCGGGCGTTTCACGTCAACGGGCACAGTGGGCTGCCCAGAATAAAAATGCATCAATATTGACGTTCGACGTGTCAAAAGCTTCGTATTTAAAAACTCTATCGAATGCCGTCTGGTGATTTTAAAAAAACATCATGGCGGTTCCAATATGGCGTCCGCAATCATGGAAAATTCTGTTTTATGAGCAATATTGATAGATAAGAAACATAAAAATACTGTATTGTAGACTGAATCACCATATCTATACGTTTTTGGGGTTGCTGATTTCGAATTCAATATTCATTAAATCCCATCTGGTCACTGTTCGTCCCTAACCTTAAAAATACTTCAAATCGTTGAAATAATACATTTCTACGATGAGTAACACAGTCTAACCACCACAATTTATGTTTTCGGGATCGCTGAAACCAATTCTGATATCAATATAACTTCAACTAGTCAGAGTTCGTGCCTAACCTCAAAAGAGTAGCGCAAATTTCTAAGATTACACTTTCCCACGTTTAGGAATGAAGTGTAACCAACATATCTTTATATTTTTGGGGTCACTGAATCGAATTTCTACATCCGTTTGAACCTAACTAGCCATTAGTCGTACCTAACCTCAAAAGCTATAATAGTTATAAAGTGCGACCACCATATTTTTATGTTTTTTTCCAAACGAGCATGTGATATGATGAAAGTATGTTTCATATAAAAAGAACAAATCCTTTTTAAAAGTTCTGCATATTATACTAAAGAAAAGGTAATACAGACTTTATGTCTTAGCCATAATAACGGCCTCAACACGATTAAACACAAAAAGTATACATTGTTTAATCTGTTGAATTTAAAAATATCGAAAGTACTGAAAGGACGGGATAATTCTTATGTAAGCTTTAATCGATTCTGCAAATACTATTTCGAAATTTGTTTCAGTATATGGATTCAATCAACGAACTCAGAAATTAAAATGATTTGATCAAAACCCTAATCAAAGTGTTAGCGCACCAGCGACTTTTTGAAAGATAGTAGGTAGCGTTTGAGTGATGCTAACCAATATTTCGTGTTTTTTATGTGTATTTTCAGGCGTCATATTGGAACTATCACGAGAGGGTTAGAGAAGTGATACGGCTTGGGGGTAACTTTTGTAAATAACAGATCAATCGGATATAATAATCAACTTTAATTTCTTTACCTGTAATAGATTATAAGCGATTTTGGTGATATTGTGATCAGACTTTATAACTCAACCAGAAAAAGTGTCATTTTAGTGATTTTGAATATTTTTTGAGGTTAGGTACGACTAGTGACTAGTTGGGTTCAAACGATATGTAGGAATTTGATTCAGTGACCCCAAAAATACAAAGATATGTTGGTTACACTTCATTCCTAAACGTAGAAAAGTGTAATCTTAGCAATTTGCGCTACTTTTTTGAGGTTAGGCACGAACTCTGACTAGTTGAAGTTATATTGATATCAGAATTGATTTCAGCGATCCCGTAAACATAAATTGTGGTGGTTAGACTGTGTTACTCATCGTAGAAACGTATTATTTCAACGATTTGAAGTATTTTTAAGGTTAGGGACGAACACTGACCAGATGGGGTTTAACGAATATTGAATTCGAAATCAGCAACCCCAAAAACATATAGATATGGTGATTCAGTTTACAATACAGTATTTTTATGTTTCTTATCTATCAATATTGCTCATAAAACATAATTTTCCATGATTGCGGACGCCATATTGGAACCGCCATGATGTTTTTTTTTTAATCACCAGACGGCTTTCGATAGAGTTTTTAAATACGAAGCTTTTAACACGTCAAACGTCAATATTGATGCATTTTTATTCTGGGCAGCCCACTGTGCCCGCCCGATGTATATATTATACTTGTCTAGTAGGTCAACTCACGTCACGGTTCCATTGCTCTACCTTCCCGTTTTACATAAGTTGGTACATATATATT